ACAGTTTGAACTGTTGAGACAGCAGCAGGCTGCTGCTGGCGGGTCGATGCACTCGCGTCGGCCCGAGACTTTGAAGATTGACATCTCAAAGTATAGGGGGTCGAAGAAGACTCCCTCTTGAGATGGTTCGTCGAATTGGATGACGCCATAAGGGCGCGTCGCATCGACGACGGGGATATGCAAGTTGCATTTGCCCAGTCAAATCTGGCAGGACGTGCCAAGACTTGGGCACTGGGGCTCAAGCTGCACGACCCATATGCGTTTGGGTCGTTGGAAGTCTTCAAGTCGCGGCTCAGACAAACGTTTGAACCGCCTAGAGCTGAGTTCAGGGCTCGAACCGAACTCTTGAAGCTCAAACAGGGTAAGCGTGATGTGCACGCTTACGCCCAACATATACGACATCTTACGAGTTGTATAAGTTCCAATCCGGTGGATGAACACACGTTGGTTTCGGTGTTCATGCAGGGTCTTGCGGATGGTCCCGTCAAGACTCACCTGTTCCGGCTTGAACTAGATTCACTAGAACAAGCCATTTCCATTGCGGAACAGGAAGACTTCAGTCTGAGACAGGCTCGCGCCAGCTCGACATCATATCGTCAACCGAGACGATATGACAACGGAGGTCCAGAGCCGATGGAACTCTGTTATGTAGAGAGCGAGAAGGCTCGCTCTACAGGCTACAAGAAGTTGCAGAGATGCAACAGATGTCAAAAGACAGGACACTACGCTTACGAGTGTAGTGCCCCTCGTCCAGTGTCTCGCGACACTGGGCGTAGAGACCGTCCACCCATGAGAAAGGGGCAGGGACGAGGGTCCGCAGTTGGTGCAAAGACGCAACAACGGGATGGACCGTCAAAAAACGGACAGGATCAGTAGGTGCGGAGCACCCTACTGATCCAGCAACGTCAAGAGAATTTGTAGGCCTCTTGATGAAGGTTGCTCCCAACACACAGACATTGTGCGTTGCTGCTCTAGGTAATGAGATCTCACTCATTACCTTGAAACTCGAAGTGACGAATAAGTTGTCCCTTCGAGCTCTAGTCGATTGTGGGGCGTCCAACAATTTTTGTGCGACGCCAATCGCTAGAAGATGGTCACTTTAAATTCAGTGAATGTGACACACCTCCTACGAGGATGACGGTACGTCTTGCGACAGGCGCATCCGTAACCGTCATGAAGCGTATAGTGAAGATTCACTATACGCTAGAAGATACCCAATACGACGATGACTTTATCGTATTGGATTTGGATGACAAATTTGATGTCATCCTTGGAATACCGTGGCTCAGAAGGTACGAACCACGGGTAAACTGGCAACATCGGACAGGAACGATGCCTGCCGCTTGTTCATCAGATGGCCATCTGATGAACGTTTTGGAGCGTCCACAAGCGTGTGGATGTACTACGAGTGAGTGCGATGGCCTCACTTGTGGTACGGTCGTTAGTACGACTGCACAAAACCTTAGTGTACCAAACGGTTACACTTCGGAGCAAAGTTCCGGCGGCTGTGAGGAAACACAGGCTGCGCCGAAGGTCCACCACTCGAATAAGTCGGGTGGACTGGGACAAAGATGTATCCCTAGAGGGGAACATCTAGAAGAGAAACAATCGATCGCTCAGGTTAAGCGAAACGATAATCCTAGATCGACTGGAGAGTCTTTCGTAGAGGATCTCGCTGTGGTTGCGCAACCCCAGCTAGAGGAAGTAAAGGGAATAAGTGCCAAGATTACAAATACGGCGGAAATAAGTTCCCCGAAACCCGCGGGAATAAGTCCCCGGGAAGACGAAGGAATAAGTCCTTCGAGGCCTGAGGGAATAAGTCCCCAGGAAATGACAGAGACATTAAATGTCATAGTCAATAACGGATCATGTGTAGGCGCTTATACACTTGATCTGATTGCGCCTCCGAAGTTAACTTCGGAGATCACTCAGTTGCCAACGCTCGAACATAAAAGATTCTTGCGTGATCTGCGTAGTGGCAAAGTCAAGCAGATCTGCATACTCGTCGCTGAAGACGAGTATGTAACCGACATAAGGTCAGCAACAGTGTTTACTGAGAACGAGAGAGTTCTCAGTAGTTCATCTATGGACGAGAGTGTCCTAGATGAAAAGACACGAATTGAGCGATATGAGTCCCAATCATGGGAATCGCTCAAGGAAAATCCTCTCTATGAAGATTTGGTTGAATTCAAGGATGTATTCCCTGAAACTGTTCCGTGCGAATTACCGAAGGATAAAGGTATTCGACACGAAGTCGAGCTTAAACCAGGCTCGAAGTACTGTGTCATGAAGCAGTGGCCACTGCCTCGTGAACAAGTACTTGCGATCGACAAGTTCTTTGCCGATCGTTTAGCAGCGGGCCATGTGAGGGAATCAACTTCCCCACATAGCTCTCCGACCTTCTGTGTGCGAAAAGCAACAGGAGGGTGGCGGATAGTGCATGCGTTTAACAAATTGAACGCTGCAACGGTACCGGCTCAGACGCCGATACCGAGGAAGGACGTAATCATTGATGGTATGTCAAAGAGTACCATCTTTTCTTTCATGGATTTGATGGATGGCTTCTATCAAATCCTTATGCGAGAACGGGATATACCCTATACCGCAGTGAGCACGCCTAGCGGCATGCTCTGGGAATGGCTAGTAATGCCACAAGGGCTTAGTAATGCCCCTGCCACGTTCAACAGATGTGTATCACATCTGTTAAGACCAGTACAAGAATTCGCGCCGAGTTATTTCGATGACGTATTCATCCATAGTCGGACTATGGATGGAAAGTCGGAAGTTGAGGTTCACAGAAATCACGTCCGACAGGTTCTTACAATCATGCGAAAGCATCAATTGTATGCAAACCTCAAGAAGTGTATATTTGCAGCAAGCGAAATACCACTTCTTGGGTGCATCGTTGGTAAGAACGGTGTACGTCCTGATCCCGAAAAGATCAAGGCGATCACCGACTGGCCTGTGTCGGTTGATGTCAAAGGTCTTCGAAAATTCCTTGGGCTAGCGGCGTATTTGCATAAGTATTCACGCAATTACGCCGAGATGACTGTGCACCTCTCTCGCTTGTTGAAAAAGAACGAGAGGTGGTTATGGAACGCTGAATGTCAGCGCTCCTTCGATGGCATCAAGCTGAGCTTGATACAATCCCCAGTCCTATCAATAGCCGATCAGGACAGGCCATTTCATGTGTTCTGTGATGCCAGTGATTTAGCAATCGGCAGTGCATTAATGCAGTACGATCTTGGAGGCGTTGAACGCTTCGTCTGCTATCAGTAGCGTCAGCTGCAACCAGCTGAGCGGAACTATCCAGTGCATGACAAGGAACCCCTTGCCATGAAGTATGCACTCGTGAAGTTCAGAGTCTATCTATTAGGAGAAAGACCCTTCATTGTTTACACTGACCATGCGTCATTACGCACGGCAGTGAACAGCCCGCACCTTTCACAACGAATGGCGCGGTGGTTGTCATTCTTTGCAGAATACAACTTTACGGTCGAGTACAAACCAGGACGACTCAATGTCGTCGCTGATGCACTCTCACGTCGTCCCGACTTTGAAACAGTCGCGAAACCCAACAGTGAGACAGTCACTGTTGCGGTTATGACGTCCTCAGTCCCATCTACAACGTTGTATGATGATGTGAGGCGGGCATACGCCCAAGATGGTGAGATAGTGAAGTTGTTGACACATCTCTCACAGCCATCTCGAGAATCGTTGAAACGATTGTCGTCTGCGTATCGATCTGCATCAGATCGATACACTACTCGTAACGGTTTACTGTACTATACAGCCGTTTCTGGTGACACACCACGTGTTGTCATTCCAGATGATACTGACCTGCATTTGCGGATCATGTTCGAGTATCACGATGCTCCCATAGAAGGACATCGTGGCCGTGAGAAAACTTATCTCACGGTGAGACGAGACTTTTACTGGCCCCGCCAGTATCAGTTTGTGCGAAAGTATGTTCGCGCATACGAAGTCTGTCAACGAGTGAAGTCAAGTCCTTCACTGCGTGCACCTTTACAGCCTCTACCGGTTCCGGCTGAGTGCTGGGAATCCATCTCAATGGATTTCGTCTTCGGGTTACCCAAAGACGCACGCGGGAATACGGGTATTCTCGTATTTGTTAACAGATTTAGCAAAATGGTACACCTTGTGGATGTACCTAGTCAATCCCAGCAAGTGGCTGTGCTTGTGTCTTTATCGACACCATCTTCCGAATTCATGGGTTACCCCGTGAACACGCATCAGACAGAGATCCACGATTCACTGCTGATTTCTGGCGTTCCGTGTTCAAATCACTCGGAACGCGCTTGAAGATGTCTACATCTGATCATCAAGAGTCAGATGGTCAAACGGAACGTGCCAATCGTGTCCTTGAAGAGATACTTCGAGGATACGTACACTCCTTTAAGAGTTTGAGTAAGTGTTTGCCAACGGTAGAGTTTGCCATTAACAACTCGGTGCATGCGTCCACGACACATACACCGTTTTACGTGAATGGCTTGCGCCATCCGCGTGCACCCACCTTACTAGAGTGTAAATCTGGTTTAAGTGGGGGAGGGACTCGCGCGAGCAAAAACCGATTTGTTTCACGCTCATCACGCTCTGACGATGAGATCATTGCGTTTGATGCCGATATCGACAACATCGATATCGAAGAAGTTGATGCCAGTGAGAGCGTGGAAGCCCTCACTGAAAAAAGGATTGATGTCGCTGCAGTGCACTCACAGCGCACTGAAGCTAACGAGTCAGCAGATGAGTTCAAACTGGCTCGTGAAACGGTAGTCCGTTTTGTGCAAGACTCCATCGCCGAAGCGGTGGATAAGCAAAAGCAAAACGCTGACAAGAATGGAAGGGCAAACACTCTTTTATTCAATAAAGGTGACTTAGTCCTACTGTCCACGGTTAATCTACCAAAGCATGTAGTGACTAACTTGGGTAGCAGTAAACTACTACCCAAGTACATCGGTCCATTTCGTGTATTGCATCGCCTAGGCAACGCATACACGATCGAGTTGCCACGTAAGATACGAACGCATCCCACGTTTGACGTTGGTCGGCTTAAGCCGTACCATCAGACGCTGTTTCTTCCGATGAAGAACGCCCTTGCGCTCAAACATCTCACAGATAGCCTTGTGCTCCCGATGGTGGATATCAACAAGGGTCTGAAGAGCAGTTATCTCAGCCCGAGACCGGCCAACATCCCCACGAGCTACCCTTAGCTCGTCACGCAGAGATGTCAAAGCTCTCTCGTTCTCAAGCTGAGCAAAAGCAAACTCAGCTCGATACTTCAAGACAGTGTCCGCCAGTTGAAGACGCATGTCTTGCTCATGCTTGAGTTCGCCGCGTAACGCAAGATTTACGCGATCAAAGAAGCTCTTGGACACACACGCTCCCCCACGATAGTTTGGAGAGCGTCTTCTCTCTTCCTCCTTCTCCTTTGGAGGACTCTCGCGGTGGCCAGCGCTATCTAGTTGAGCAGCTGTTGAACCACCGCGACGTGAACGGACGTCGGACGAGTTATCTCGTCCGGTGGCGCGGCTATCCCCCGTCCTGGGATTCTTGGGAGCCCCGCTCCCAACTGATGATATACGTAATGGGTCTGGTTGAGCAGTACGACGCGGCACATCCTGTGCCGCAGAAGGACCGCCGGAGAAAGTCTTCCCGGCACGGTCGTAAAGGGATTTCAGGTTGTCAATCCCTTCGTACATCTCAGTAGAGATACGTACGCGCCACCACGGGCTAGTAAGAAGGTAAGCCTCCTTAGATGCTCGTGCAGAGTTGTTCACACAACATGGGCACGAGTCTCCCCAAGAGAGGCAGGGTAATCCTTTCTCCCTTGACAGACGATGCAGCTTGTAGCGTGCACCTGTCGGGGTTCTTTTCTCAAACTTATCACGAGCTTTGATAAGTTTGTCGTTCCAAACGTCACGACCTACATCCTCAAGGTTATGGATGTAAGCGATCCACGCTCGAATCAGTGAGGGACCATCACGTTTGTGATTCCCACTGTACCATCGATGTTTAAAGAAAGCATCGATGAAGAACTCATTCTCAGCGCGATAGTTTTTCGCGCTGGGGTCAAGGTGATGAATCCTTGACGAATCGAACAATCGTGTTCGATAACGATCACTCGTCGTCGTCGACAAGTGATCCATGACGGATTAGGGACGCATCCATGCCTTCTTCTCGGAAGCGAGACGCAACACGTTGCGGTCCCGCTCTTCCTGCGACGTACCGACAGAAGGACTGGTACCTCGCTGCGAAGTGGTGTCAATAGGAGAACCGACACCACTGTTAGCGCCCGAGTCTTGCGACCTCGAGCGCCTTCGCTTCGGCGATGGTTCATCTGATTCATCAGATGAACCAAAGATGCTGCGACGCAAAGCATCGTCCATGCCACGCTTGGCAGGCGGCTTGGTTTCAATCGCCGTCGATACGGATCCGTCTTCCGTATCAGGAGAGTACGAGACACCGAGCTCATACTCTGTGAAGACACGAGTGTCTTCATGACCAGCGCCTGCATCACCAAGTGACACAGGCTGAGTCGCTTCAGCAACCGATGAGACATCAGTTGCTATGGTTTCTGCTTCGGCGTCCGCACAGAGACGTGTGGACGCGCTCTCGGCGGCCTTGCTCGTGCACCGCATGGCCTTGTTAACCATGCGATGAATTGTTGGAAAGTGGACTCGGACCAACAAGTGCAAACCCCGTCCCAAATGATTTGGGACGAGCATCCATTCAGTCAATCAGTCACTAAAGTGACTGATGGTTAAGGGGGGGTGATGTAACGGGGTGAATCGTTGCATAACAATTTATAAGAAATTGTTAATAGAATATAACTACAAGAGTTATATTCTCAGAATATTGTCATAAGGACAAATATTCTGCAGCACTTACGAGTAGTTCCCAATCGGTTGATAAAGGCCATTATATCAACCAACGAAGACGCGCCACGACAGACGCACGCAATGAGTGGTGAGCGGATAGTTGATATGCACATTTGTATTTAGACATAGTTAGATGAAGATAAATAGTGATTTTTGCAGACATTAACTATTATAAATACAGTTCTACTTTTTACTCTAACCAAGTACTCGCTTCTTCTTACCGTCTTCCTCTGCACGTACGAGTGTACGTGAAGTTACGAGGCACCGCCTTATTCTGTCATCAGAATAAGTAGCTTGTACTGTCACCAGTACAAGCTTCAGGGTGCCCCGTTACAAAGGAGGCATATGGTCTTCGCAAAATTTGAACTGGGTCGTATAGACGAAGTGCACTATTTAGAGTACGTTGACTAATTTTTGACATCGTCTATTCGTTCTGTGGACATTACGAAGAAGTTGTGTTGTGAAGAGTGGGTTGACTCAAGATTCTAGACTTTACAATACAGGTCGCATAATCCTTTAGGCATCTTGTTAATAAGAGTGCAAATTGTGAATCAATTTAGACTCGACGATGCCAAAGTTTATACCGGTCATAGCTTTGCTGCAGGTATATGCATGTTTGTATGCGCCATTCAGCTCATAGAAGCATATATACCACACAACGTTTCTACTATGCGATAGCAAGCGAACTGGGCAACAAGACGTGAGTCTGGACTTGGTAACGGGGCAAGCCTATTACATGCAATTAACCTTGATACTCGTAAATTAGAATATTATCATAAAGGTTGGTAATGTTCGTGAATATTACCATAACGGGTAATTTTTCGAAGCACTCACTAATTGGCTGATACGGGCCATTATACCAGCCAGCTCTAGCGTCCAATCAACGATAGACGCGCGCAATGAGTGGTGAGCAAGTCTTTAGCATACACTTGCGTAGATAAAAATACTAAGCTCGGACTTAAACATAGGTACATGTAATTAAGACTTAATATATTTAATCCAGTTAAATTTTCTACTCCTTCTAAAGTCGTCGCCCACTAGCTAGACTTCCTCTGCACGTACAGTGTACGCGACGGACGCGCGGCAATACCTACACTGTTGTCAGTGTAGGTGCAATAGTACTGAAGCAGTACTTGTGATCAGTGCTCCGTTACATCTGGTAGCACTTTGTAGTCCGTCCAAGGACCGCAACTCCCACATCCAACATGAACATGTTGAATTACGATAATGAAAGCTTTCACACCACGTATACGAGCTAATCCTGTGTGAGTGACATCGAATGGAGTGCGGTCGAACGAATGGATTCGACCGTAAGAGAACATGCCGTCTCTGCCATGTTGTCCGCAGGACTAAAATGGACAGCATGTCGCCGTCTCCGTTCATACAACGTGAGCTTGACGAGTTACGGAAGAAAGCAACTTTGCTTGACCAGCAAGGTTTTCAACAGATAGAGATGTTGAGACAACAGCGGGCATATGCTGCTGTTCTCGCGGCGACGCACGCGCGTCGACCCAAAACTTTGAAGATAGGCATCTTAAAGTACAGAAAAGTTTATGAAGACTCCCTGCTGAGATGGTCTGTCAAGTTAAACGACGCCATAATGGCTTTTCACATCGTAGAGGAGCATATGCAAGTCGCATTTGCTCATATGAGCCTGGCTGGACGTGCTAAAACCTGTGCATTAGAGTTCAAAATGGACGACCCGTATGTGTATAAGTCGTTAGAGGTCTTCAAGACTCGACTCGACAAATATTTGAATCGATAGAGGCTGAGCTCTTGGCTCGATCAGAGCTCCTGAAACTCAATCATGGTAAGCTTGATGTGCCCACTCATACCTGACACAAACGACTCCATGCGATTTGTATCACAGCCAACCCAGTTAATGAACGCACATTGATCACTATATTCATGCAGCGTCTTGCGTATGTTCCCTTCAAGACTCACATGTTCCGCTTGGATCTCGATTCTCTAGAAGAAGCGATATCAGTTGTGAAACAAAAAGACTTCAGCCTGAGACGCGCTCATGCTAGTTCGGGTTCATATCGTCCCCCAAGATGACATCCAGTCGAAAGTCCAGAACCTGTAAACCTCTGCTATGTTGAGATCGAGATACCTCGCTCTTCAGCCGACAAGCAACTGCAAAAAGCGCAAATGCTGTCAAGGGTTGGGACACTACGCTTACGAGTGAAGCTCCCTGCGCCCAGTGTCTCGAAAAATTGATCAAACGGATAGTCTGCCTGCCAAGAAGGGCAACAGATGCGGGTCCAACGTTGTTGCGAAATCGCAACAGCGTAGTGGAATTTCAAAAAAACGGTTATGATTAGTTTGGGTGGAGCGCCCTGATGATTTAGCAACCTCAATTGAATATGCAAATTACTAGATGGACGTTGATCCAGAATCACACTCACTGTGTGTCTCTGCACTTGGTGATGAGTTACCCCACATCATCGCGAGGTTAGAAGTGAAAGAAGGTTTGACAATTCGTGCCCTAGTAGACTGTGGGGCGTCGAACAAGTTTGTTCGTCGTCAGTCGCTAGAGGATCGTAGGCTCAGTCTTGTTGAGTGCGATGCCCCTCCGACCAGGATGACGGTGCGCCTAGCAACAGGCGTATCGATAACATTGTTGAACGTGTAGTGATACCTCACTACTCGCCAAAAGAATTGCAGTACGATGGTTATTTCATCATACTTGATTTGGATGACAAGTTTGATGTCATTTAAGGTTTGCCTTGGTTCAATAAGTACAAACAAGGGTCAGCTGGCAGCCTAGATTCGTGAAGATGTCTGCCACTTGTTCATCTAATAGCCATATGATAAACGCCTTAAAGCGTCCACAAGTGTGAATGTACTGCGAGTGAGTGCGATGGCCTCATTTGCGGTACAGTAGTTAGTACGACAGCACAAACTCACAATGTGACAACTAATCACACTGTGGAGGGAGCTGCCGGCGGCTGTGGGGATGCACGGGCAGCTCCGAATGCCCACCACTTAAAGAATTCCAGTGGATCGGGATTGAGTTTGCACCTATCGGTTGACATCCAAGAAATAATTTACAGGTTGCCCACACTGGGCAAAACGATGATCCTAGATCGGCTACGGATCTAATTGTAGAGGAATCAGCTGTGGTGGTGCAACTAAAGCTAGAAGACTTCGAGGGAATAAGTCCCCACGTACTTGAGAAAAAGAATTATCAAGCACTTATTGTTGAGGTAACAAGACCTTATCAATCTCATGAAGTAAGTCCCTAGCAGCCTATGGGAGTAAGTCTCGAAGAAGAAACCGATGCATTGAATTTCTTGGGTAAAGACGGGCCAAGTGTAGGCGCTCATACATTGATCTCATCGCGCCTCCGAAGTTGACTTCAGAGATCACACATTCGCCAACGCTACAATCGAAACGATTCCTGCAATATCTGCGTATTGGCTTAGTCAAGCAAACCTACGTTTTTGTCACACAGGACTAGCACGTGACCCACGTTCGGTTGGAAGTGATATTTGCCGAGAAAGAACGGGTTAAGAGAAGCTCATCGATAAACGAAAGTGTCCTCAACGCGAAGACTCAAACTAAGAGATACACGTATCAATCTTAGAAGTTTCTTCAGGCAAATCATTTAGATAAAGATTTGATCGAATTTAAGGACGTGTTACCTAAAATGTACCATGCGAGTTACCTAAGGACAAAGGCACTCGACACAAGATCGAGCTCAAATCGGGCTCGAAGTACTGTGTCATGAAGCAGTGGCCACTGCCTCGTGATCAGGTCACAGCGATGGACAAATTCTTTGCCGATCGTTTAGCGGCGGGCCATGTGAGGGAATCAAC